ACTATTGGAGGTAGGTCATGAGAAATTTATCCTTTATTAATATCATAATCCCGACGTGGATGACTTGTCTTTGACCAAATAGGGGAAAGAATTAGTCGAAGTGTGCGTAAGCTGGCCTGACTATTGAATCTAAAAATAAATAAATAATGAATGCTTGACTAGAATATGGATATCCAATGGTTTCATAGTTATTTTAATTTGGAATAGGGATGTTCTTAACATAATTTGAACTGAATTGACACATATATCATACTAATTATTCTCCGTGCCTGAAAGCACAGAGTAATTTACATTCAAAATCAAATCACAAACATAAAGGAAAGATAAAAAAAAAAATTAAGTACCAATTGTAGTGGGGGTCAGCGGTGGTAATGGTGGTGAGCGACAATGGTGATGATGAGAGACGATGATGGTTGTGGTGGGTAAGGTGATGACTGTGATGGTGGTAGCAACCATGGGTGGCAATGGTGATGGTGGTGAGTTTTGAGTGACGATGATGGTAGTGACAATCGTGGATGGCAACGGTGGTGGTGGGTGTGGGTGGTGGTGAACGACGGCAATGGTGGTCGATAGTGGTGGTGGTGGGCGACGATGGGTGTTTCTAGGCGACAATGTGATGGGTGGTGGTAGTAAGCGTGGGGGAGGTAGGTAACAGTGGGTGGCTGCCGTGGTGGGCGATGACAAATGGTAGTGGTAGGTGTGGTGGGATAGGTGATAGTAGCTGGTAGCTGGTTGCGATGGGTAGTGATGGGTATGGTGGCGATGGTGGTAGTGGGATGATGGTGGTAATAATAATAAATATAAGAATAAGATGAAGATGGTGGTGGGTGGTGGCCATGGACGACGATGATAGCAATCAATGGTGGGTGACGATGGTGGTAGTGGCAGTGGGGCAGCGACGGTGGGGTGTGGGTGGAGGTGGGGCAGTGGCAATGGTGAGGGTGGCAGTGGTGGGGTTGGCTATGGTGGTGATAGTTATGATGATTATGGGTGTGGTGGTGGGACGGTGGAGGGTGATAGGGGTGATGGTGAGATAGTAGCGGTGGTGGTAAAGTGCGACAACTGTGGTGATGATGATAGGGTGCGATAGTGGTGGTGGTGGCGATGGTGATGGTGGGGCGGTGGAAATGATGGTGGTGGAGGTGGGACGATGATGATGGTGGGGGTGATGGCGGTAGTGGTGGGCAGTGGTGGTAGTGGTTATGATGGTGGTGAGATAATGGAAGTGGTGGTAAGGTGGTGGCAGTAGCGATGATGGTGGGTATGATAGGGTGGCGATAGTGATGGTAGGGTGGCGATTGTGATGGTGGTGGGGTGTTGGGTATGGTAGGGTGGCGATAGTGGTGGTGGTGGTGGAAGTGGCATTGGTGGTGATGGGGGTGTTAGGGGTAGTGATGGGACGGTTCCAAACACTATTTTTGTTTTAAAGTACTTATGAGAAATAATTCATATAAGTACTTTTAAAAAGTTACTTCAAACACACTCTTAGAGACTTATTTTTCATATTAAATTTAAGGTATTAATATTAGTCGTTATATTAACTTTAAAATAAAATTTAAAGAAAATTTTAAGCGTGAATAACAAAAGTCATTTTATTTGTCTTTGAAATTTAAATTATATTGTACTTTATTATATAGATGTTTGCAATCTCATTATCAATTTAGATGATGAATAATAAAAAGGGTAAAACGCAACAAAATTTCTGAAATGAAGGAGACAATGTGAATAAAATTTAAACCTAGATTATAAACAGTGAGATTTTTAAAAAATTAGAGGTAGCAAATAGAATTGATTCTAGCTGATCACGAATGAGTTTCTATCCGATTTGATCTTCAGTTTGATCCCAAATAACTTTTTTATTTGTTAATTGGTTTGTAGATTATAAGATATTTATTTTGTAGATTAAGCTAATAGACCCAAGATATTTGTTCCATCAAACGTATCAAAGTTCCAAAACACATTTGTACCAGGTCACTTGATTACTGATAATATTCTTATTGCTTATGATATCAATCAGTTTATCTAGTTGAAAAAGAAAGGTAATAAGGGATTCATTTCCCTTAAATTAGAAATGAATAAAGCGTATGATCGTATGAAATGGAATTTTTTGAATCGAGTTTGATTTCAGGAGATTGAAAAGAAAAACTTATTAGGGATATAAGCCTACCAGGTAAAATCAAGATTTTTGCATGGCGCCTCTACCTTGATATTGTACGTACCAAGTGTCTTCTCCAAAGTCGAGGATCTCAGCAGAAAATTATTGTTTTCTTTGTAGTGGGCTTAATGAATCCTTATTACATCTCCTTATTCACTGCCCATTTTCTAAACAAATGTGGGAGGATGCAGGGATTAATGTTCTCACTAGTTCATGAGTGGCTGAATTTTTGGGTTCCGTTCAGATCAACTGCCACCGGTGTTTGTCTTAGCTTGGTCCCTATGGTATAGTAAAAAAAAATAAAAAAGCACGACTTAAGCAGGAGGATAACTACCCAAATCAGATTGTAGATTTCTCTATTTTTTTCTGGGAACATTTTGTAGCAGCTCAGGTAAATAGGCAGCAGGATTCTCAACAGGGTATTGTTGCTGAGACTAATCAATGGACTGCCCCCAGTCCTGGCTTTCTTAAAATCAACATAGATGGAGCAATTTCTGAGGCGAAAGAATCCGCTGGTAGAGGAGTTGTTGTTCGAGATTCGAATGGTCGATTTGTGGTGGGTCATAGCCGAAGAATTCAAGGTATTACTAATGCTTTACATTCTAAATCTTTGGGCGTCATTCATGGGCAGTAAATTTGCCATTGATCTGGATTGCCAAAATATGATATTAAAAGAAGATTCAAAAGGAATTATTGAGGCGATTAAATCGAGTGATACCAACCTCTCTCAAATAGTATTACTCAAATCAATTTAATGCCCCGTGTACGAAGATCTGAGAATAGTGTGACTCATACATTAGCCAAATTTGCTACTTAATGTTCTCAATGTATTGAATGGAGAGATGAACCACTAGATTTCATGATTTTATATCCTCAAAGAAGATATTTCTATTTCTTAATCAATCAAAGAAGAGTAAATTAAACATAAGGCAGTTTGTCAACTAAACTCTTGAACTTTTTTTGGGTCAATTGAGTCCCTGAACTCTCTAATTGTGTCAATTGAATCCTTATGTTTGTCTTTATTAGAGTGTGTCATTCACATGACTATATGATACAAAAAGACAGAAGAACTCAATTGACACAATTAGAGAATTCAGAAATTTAATTGACATAAAAACAGTTCAATGACTCAATTAATACAAGAGTCATAGTTTGACGATCATATGTGTAGTTTATTCTAACTCATTTGTATCACGTGAATGACACATTTAGCCACTTTTTATGTGAAAGATTCAATTGACACAATTAGAGAATTTTTGGACACAATTGACACATAAAAAACAGTTTAGGAGTTTAATTGACAAAAAAATCTTAATTTGAGGACTATATGTATAACTTACTCATCAAAGAATCTTGGTTTCTTTTAAAAAAAAAAAGATATTTACTTATTGAGTCGAATTTTATAATATAAACAATTTGAAAACATGCTTTTTTTCCTTGGTTCGCCTTTGCCTTTTTTTTTTTTTTTTCCAGTAGTCTTTCTTTGTCTATATATATATATATATATAATGTGGTGGATTTAGTCATTAATGAAGTGAGTTTAGTCATGAAGTGACGGGTACATAATGGATTAAACTTAATTATTAAAAGGGTATAAAAAGAATGAGTGAATTTATTTATTAACGAGTGAAGAGTAAATTAAACATATGATCCTCAAATTATGATTAAGTGTCAATTACACCTTATTTTTTTTTTGTGTCGATTGAGCATTTAAACTCTTTAATTGTGTTAATTGAATACCTCTATTTGTCTTTGTTAGAGTGTGTCACTCACATAACCATGTGGTACAAAAAGACAAAAGAGCTCAATTAACACAATTAAAAAGTTCAGAGGTTTAACTGATACGAAAAAAAAAAGTTTTATGTCACAATTGAAACACGGATCATAATTTGAGGTTTACCGGTGTAGTTTACTTCAACTTATTTGTGTCTGTGAATGACACACTTTGTCACTTTTAATCATAAAATCTAACAGAGACTGACATAAGAGTTCAATTAAAACAATTAGAGAGTTCAATGGCTCAATTGACACCAAAAAAAAAAATTAGGACTTAATTAACAAAATAATCATAATTTGAAAATCATACATATAATTCACTCGTGAAAGAATCTTCGTTTCTTAAGGAAAAAAAAAAGATATTTGTTTGTTGAGTCGAATTTAATAATATAACCAATTTGAAAATGTGCTCGGACTTTGATTCCACTCCTCGTGAACGGAGCTCATTTTTCTGGCAGTCCAAATCATTTAGTTTAAAAATGAATAAAAATAATATTATATCATTTGGCTCAGAGCTTAACAAATCAAGAGTCCGGCTAAATAGCCATACGGCAATGGGAGACATTTGCCAAAGAGCCGTGTCTTGTCGTATCTAATTCTTGTCGTACCATCACTCATTAAAAAATTATTTAATTAAAAATTGTGTATACAGAATCAGAAAAATCATAAGAACAACCAGGATTTCTTTAAATCCAGCCCCTCTCAAATATTTATTCTCTAACCCGTTTTGTTTTGAACTTATTTTTTAAACTCAATATTTTTTAAAAAATTTCATTTTAAATGACTTATTCAGAAGTTAAAACGTTATTTGGAATGACGATTTAAAACTGAAATATTTTTACTAAAAACGTTATTCAAAATGACGTTTGTTAAATCGTCATTTTTAAAAACTTGTTTTTTTTAATAGCAGCTAACATGCGTTAAAGAAAATGAGGGTATAAAACGTCACTTTCAATGACGTTTTTGAATACGTCACTGTAAATGACGATGTATCCAAATAATTTCTATGACCCAAATGACAGAAGCCCTAAATATTTTTAAAAAAATTACCCTCATATCCCTCTCTCAGATTCGAGACATCCTCCTCCTCCACTCTCTCAGGTCAGCCACCCTCTCGGAGGTCCCTCTCTTAGTCGCTCTCTCCTCCTCCAATCAGTCAGCCATCCTCTCTCAGATCGCTCCCACCTCCTCCTCCTCCTCCTCCTCCTCCTTCAACCACTCAGCCACTGTGTTCCCCTGTCTTAGATCGATCTCTCATCCTGCTCCTCCTCCTCCTCCTCCTCCTCGAACCACTCAGCCACGATCTTCTCCAACGAGACCAGTCCCACAGGTGTCCGTCTTTCTCTCTCTAGCAATATATCTCTCTCTCTATATATATATATATGAAAATACATATAATTATTTCATGGAAAAAAATTATTTCAAACTTCGTTTTATTTTTGCCACTCCAAATCAAGTTCAATTTTTTCGGCTAATACACTAAAAGTTGTTATGGAAACTTCGAATATTTCAAAACTGGGCTCAAATTTATATCTATGTTCATCGTATTTGAATGCTTGTGGCCTGAAATGGATTCCTATAGTGACATGCTGGTTATTGCAGATATATGTATCTAGACTATGCACAGTCTGTATACTGTTTAGTGCTCTGTACAAAACATGTTCTCTTGGTTAAATTAGTTCAATCATGCGATAGATTAGCATAAAAGGAGTTGCAATTTGTTTTGGATGGAATGTTGTCCACATGTGCAAAAATCAATTACATGATTGTCATGGTGTTGAAGTCTGCAAGTATACATCTAGCCATTGTTTATGTAACTGAATCTGGTTTTTTAGTGATTTTCATTTATTGTCTTGGTGCTTGTACAAGTCAATGAATGGAATTTGAATTTTGTTAACACCAGGATATATTTTTTGGGTAGCTGAATTAAGACAGGGTTTAATTGTTCTTGGTAGGCTGAAACTTTACTTGGGTACCTGAGAGAGCCAAGACAATAAGCTTCTACTTCAAGCCCTTAGAGAGGTATTTTAAATGGTCTTATAATGAAATTAAGTAGTAGGTTTGTTGACTGTATATGTAGGAAGTGTTTTGATGTTTTATATAGAGTGATTGAGAAACTTGGTGGTTTGTGATGGAATGTCAAAAATTGGTAGAAGCCATAGTGATAAGAAGCTAACCTTTTTTAGGTGTATTATTGTTGACTAGGATTTTGGGGGTTTAGTTCCCCTCTATTGTTAATTTTGTTTTGTGGAGGTAGGAGAACTTGTTTGCCTGGTTGGGTTTTTGGGTTGTGAATTTATTATATGATCTAAGCTATGATTTTTTTGGTGATTCTAATTGTGACAAAAGGATTACTAGTTGTTTGGTCTTATTTTGTGAAAAATATTGTGTTTGTTTGAGTTGTTTTGTGTCTTTTCTAATTATAAATGACTGTCACTCTTATGTCACCATATTTCTTTCTTTCCTTCTCTCTTTTCCTCTTACTATTTTAAAGAATTAATCTTGTTATCTCTTTATTTTGTTTACATTTTATTATTCTTGTCCCTAAATAATTCAAGGATACCCGGACAGGAGTCTCTTGAAGACTAAGTTCTGTACACCATGCAGGATATGAAACAGCCAATTTATTTTAACTTCTGTAATCCTTGCAGGATATGTAAAAGCAAGTTTATTTTCATATTTGTTTTTGTATGGACTCATTGCACTCCTAATAAAGCTCCCAGTCACATGCTGCTTCTCCCTCCCCCAAGAGAAGAGTAGAAGTCATGGCCTCCATCTATGCAGAATGGTCTCCTGTATTACTTGTCTATCTTATGTGGATTTTCTAGCTATTTATTTACAACAACATTAAATATGCTAAACACATACATTCCCAGCACTCATTATGCTCAGATATGTAGAAATGATCGAAGTATTCCCCTAACTCTTGCAATGATGTAGCCAAAGCTTCATCTAGAGCCAATAGTGAGTCAACACTTCCACCTTGCGAAGATTCACTGTCTTGTCCTGAAACCTGACTTCGGTCATTGCTTTTGACCAGAGGTTTTTCGTAAACCCAGCCCCGTCAAATATTTATTCTCTAACCCAGTCAATTTTAAACTTATTTTTCAAACCTAGTTTTTCTTTTTTCAAAAACGTTATTTAAAATGACGTCTTCAGATGTTAAAACGTCATTTGGAATGACGATTTAAAACTGAAATTTTTTTATTGAAAACGTCATTCAAAATGACGTTTTTTAAATCGTCATTTTTATTGACATTTTTTAACGTGAAATTTTTAACGGCAACTAACAGGCATTAAAAAAAATAAAGGGGGTAGAAAACGTCATTTACAATGACGTTTTGTACGCCTTTATTTGCAATAACGTTCTCTACCCCTTTATTTACAATAACATTTAAAAAACGTCTTCTTAGCCTTTTACAATGACATTTTTTTAGTCTTTTGTCTTCAACCACCAACTTGTGATAAATTTCATAAAAGCTAATAACTCCGTCTTATGTCTCACATCATGATTCACCAGACAAAAAGAAAAAAAATTTAATAAATTTTAGAATTTAATTCCATTTTCATAATAATTTTGAACTCATTTTCTAATCAAAAATAAAATTCATAAAAGCATAATTTAATTTCATATTTTTCAATATAAAAACATATTTGTAAAACATATTTTTAATAGAAAAACTTAAAAGCGTGTTTTGAAAGCACACTTCTATATCAAAAAGTATGTATTTAACTCATGCTTTACTAAATTGATTAAAAAAATCTCAATATTATAATCTCATTTTCCATGTCATAAAAGCATTACAATTTGGAGGTGTTTTTTTCTAAACCCAATCGGCCCTAAAACTTTGTTTTCCAAACCCAGTCTTTTTTTAAAAACGTTATTCCAAATGACGTTTTCATGGTGAAAACATCATTTAAAATGAAGAAATGAAATTGAATTTTTTTATTAAAAACGTCATTAGGTTTGAAACGGCAAACTTAATAGGGGTTAAAAGAAAATTGCCCAGAAAACGTCACTTTAAATGACGTTTTTAAAAACATTAAAAACGATTTAAATTTTTTTTGAGAAATCTGTTTTGTATATGTTAAAAAATTATGTATTCTAATTTTATGTTATAAGTTCATCGAACATTTATAGTTGACCTACAAAAGTGAGCAAAACTTCAAAATATGGAAAAAGATACTTATACATCAAAAACAAAACAATTTTATTACATTACACTGTAAGAAATACAGTCTGTCAATATTTTGGTAGATGTAGAAAACAACATAGAGGGTTGCCGAGTAAACATAAACTCGATGGAATAAAAGTGTCAGACATCATCACTTAGATGATGCCCCCTTGTCCGCCACGTTCGCCAATGTGATGGAACTTCTTCACCTACCTCCATTTTTGCTAGTGCAGATTCTTCGCAGAAGGTAATTTTTAGTATCCTAGGGCCCCTTGGACCGGTATAGCCTTGGTTCCACTAGTGCCCACTTTTGATGATCACTAACACTATAGATGTGAATATTATGGATCTTGAGGCAAAAAATTCAGCCTTTCAATAAGAATGTCTTCATCCCCCGACAGGCCGTAATACTTCTCCGGCTACTAAGGCTAACTAAGTCGCTGTCCCAACTCAGACCGTGTTTCTAGCTCCTAATTTCATTCTTGTGGCAGAGATTGACTTGTCTTATATTTTGGATTTTGAGATGGGGAGAGCCCATCTATCGCTCGGTCATGTTTCCTTTAAAATTTTAGGATTAATCCTAGATCGCAATTTTGTAGAACATCGCAAAACAGCAAAAATGATTATTGATGGTTGTCCTAAACTTCTAGTAGATGATCTATAATTTCTTGAAAAATGACTTCAATTAATTAGGGTGTTGGTCTCTTCTCCCCTTATTTTTGAAGAAGAACATTATGTTTTGACGCCTCTAGCTGATGAGATGGAACGAAGTCAACTTGTAACAACATATCAAAATTTATTCTAGCCATTCCCATTGCTTCGCTTTTCTCCATAAACAATTGGCCAAAATAGACTGTTAAATTGCTTAATTGGAAGCTCATTGTGCGGTCCTGTTGGAGGGGTTTGTGTCATATAATGAGCATCTGAAAGAAATAAAGGCCATTGCGAAAGCTATTGCGGCATAAGTTGATGATGGTTTGGCCTCAGCCAACTCAGCTTTGGCATAATTGAAGGCCATAAACAATTTCTTGTACCGATTAGGAGCTAACTTTCAAATCTTGTATGGTTACTTGAATGAATAAATAAAGTTGGACTATTTTCCCCTTTATTTCTTTATCTATTTTTGTCTTTTTATTTCCCATGTGACGGTTGATATGACTGTAACTTAACTAGCATTTATTGTCATTTGAATCACGTCTCTATCGTTCTTGTGCAGGCATTCAGGTGCTTTAACTGCCTTAGAAAATGACGTTTTATTCTCCTTTCCATAAACTACCATAAATATTGACGGTTTTCGAGGTGAGGCTATTAATGAATTCAAAATCCTCTTGGCCTATAAATACCCATTAATGCTAGGTCATTCGGAGCAAACCAAAACTTCCCATGGATGTTTTCCCTATTAAGCAACACTTCTACTCCATACCCTCCTGACCCAGAAGAGAGAAAAGTGGAAGATGATTTTGTTTGTCCTCAACCCTTTTCTCATTCGGTCTTAGCCAAAGTTTTTACTTTGTCATGTCCTCCTAACATCAACAATTGGCTCTACCAACTTACTTTCATGTCCCTTCGAAAGATGGGTACCTCACTGCACTTATATTCTTTGGTCATATTGATGATCCTTGTCTTGGGGGTTAGGCAGCATCAGTTGATAGCATGCACCTGAAAAAAATTGAAGAAGATATTTCATCTGGCTTCTGGTGCATCTTATGGCACTAGAACCTGTTTTCCTCTTCTGATCTCCAGTTAACCGTTGGATGAGCTTCTTCCGCACTCATTTGGAATTCAGATGTGGGGATGGAAGAAAGCCCTTGGTTGGGAAGGCTTTTGTTTAAATCCATTTTGCTTCATGCACCCAAGTTTTTGCTCCATCCTTGCTCCTTTCTTTGTCTCCAGTACACAAGTTGTCATCTTCAAACTAGGACGACAATCTCATAGAAGCAGGCTACTTCAACGCAGCACTTTGTTTCATTTATATTTTGCAAACTATATCCATTGAATTTCTATAAAATTTCATGAATAAAAGTTACAATGTTATTTGTCCATTTTTATTTCCTTTTTTATTTCTTACAACTGCTAAATGTTAGGATGAACCCTGTAATGGTCATGTGCTTACATTGAGCCGCTGGTTGTGACCTCCTACGTTTAAAGGTCTTTTTTGCGTTCGGCGGCCTCATAGACCCTTGGTCTGTATGCCTTCAAAGAATTGACATTCTCCATCTAATTCCCTTAAATGGTAAATACCACATTTCTTAATTTCTTAGAATTGAAATGACCCTTCCTAGTTGGCAGACCATGTGCCAAACCTTTGGTCTTAAAGGCAACCTTTCCTTCCCAACCAAGTCACCTACTCAAATGCCTTGTCTTTGAATCTTCTGCTATACACTTTGGCAACCCTTTGTAATTTTATGCAATCTAGCACACCCAGTCCCACATTTTGTTAGTCTTCAAGCTTTATCATCATGACTTCATTATATTCAGCTAGAGTTAGGTTATATTGAAAATCCACTCGAAATGATTTGATGGTGTTCTCCATTGGCAAAACAACATCGTGTCTGTAGGTTAACTTGAATGGGATGAATTCGATACTAGACTATTTTGACATTCTATATGCCCATAGTGTTTCTAAAATCTTATCAAGCTAGCCCTTTGGATTTCTTCCACCATCTTGGCAATAATCCCCTTCATCACTTTGTTGGTGGACTCAGTCTGGCTGTTTCCTTACGTGTAGTATGAGGTTGAATGAATGATGTTGAAACCATATTCCTTTACAAAACCTTTGAATTCACTTCTTGTAAGATGATAAAAGAATGTAGTCTTGTAGACGGGGAAAAAATATTCCCAATTAAATCCATAGCCAATGCTCTAAACGACCATGACTTTGTTATAGGCTGCATCTACATTGATGGTGCCCTTTGGATAGGTCCACAACGTTAACATGCTTTAAAACCCCTTGCATATTCAATGCAATCCCTCAGGACACTTGAAAAATAATAACCTTATCTCCAAATAAACCAACACATCTTAATGCTAGCCTAATGGGCGCCACACATGCCTGTGTGGTTCTCGGCCCACTGCTAATATGTCTGCTTCTTTTCCAATGGATCTTAATAGCAAGTCAACATGAATCCCATTTTTGTAGAGTTTCTCGTCCAAAGTATATAATTAGTGGCCCATCTTATGGTGGCTTGGTCTACATCCCCATTTGGGTATTTTAGGAATTGTATGATTTTGAACCTCAAATCTTCCTCCTCCACTTCCACCATCAATTCTTCAAAATACATTCCTTTGGCTTTGATGGATGGAAATACATTCTTTTGAATTCAGATTAGCTACTCATTCATGCCTTGAGGAATTCTAAATAGTGATCCCACTGGACCAGGTTGTTAACCTGGCCATTTAACTCCCTTGGGACAAGTCGCAATGTTATGTGGTCAAAATTTGGCAATAAAGACATTGAAATGGAGTGGAACGGGCACAACTCCCAACTCTAGCCTTAAAAATTGCATGCGATTTGATTGATGACCAATCTGTAATCACCGGTTCTTTCGACATTGATGTCCCCATTCCCAACAAAAATCTCAAGCCCGATGATCAATGTCTCATACCCAATGATCAAAATTTTAATTTACAACCCTGGGTTGACTCTATAATCACTCCGTCCTTG